GGAGGGAAACAGGAATATTATCTGAAAAAGGGAGTAGCACCGCCGACTTGTATTTAATGCGTATCTGCTCAAAATGTCAGAAACTGCAGAGAATATACAGGTTAGATTTGATAAATCAAGTGCTCTGGGTCTAGCTAGGAAACCTAATCAAAGGCTCTGGGGATGCGAGAGGGGAGACCCTCTCAGTAGCGAGAGGATAGAAGCGAGAGCTGCAAGATATGATGTCCGACATAATCATCTTGCATTTAATATCCCCTCTTAAAGCGTCAAAAGGCGTTCAGAGAATATGCAGTCTAGGGAATAAGCAGCTCACAACACTGTTCATAACACTGTTCATCGAGAAGACAGGTGAATTTAATTTAATAAATCTCGATAAGTCTGAAACACTTCTGAAGGGACAACTAAAATAGGATTGGAGTCCGTATTTGAAATCCGTTCTCACGAGTTTTCTATAAATAGCAAGAGATTAATTTACCTAAGAGGCACTTCCTTCTTACAAAAAAGATAACAAATAAAAAAACATAATTATTCCTTTTCTCAGATCAAAACCGTACTGACTTGATCGTCGGAGTGCTAACTCCGGCATCAGCCCGGTTTCTTCCTTCTTGTGTTCTTATTTGCAGAATATAGGGAATCCATCAACACATACGGATTGAAGAAGCCCACTAACGAATTCGGACGAATCAAATAATATTCTAGTAATACCCAAATAACTAAATTTGGTAAATTAAACTAAAGTACCCAAATAATACTTTTAAATCTCAATAAAAATTCACATGAACTTAAACAATCATGAAAAAATGAAGATCAACATCCCATCAAGAATAGTAGGAATACTTTACAAAATAAAATAAAATAAACGTTTAAAAAAATGTTAACATGCATAAGAATATCCCATTTTATCACTTGTTGAACATTTGATTCTCTTTCAATCACAAAATGTGTTGTCCTTTATTGTCAGATAGCACAAGCAAGAATTTCGAAGAGGTCCACCATATCAAGAGCTCTTCATTGGTGGGATACAATTTTAATTTAGATAATGTTCTTTTTTTTTTTCTTTCAATACTTTGCAAATTTGAGTACACATAGAAATTTAGATAATTTTATTTTTTATAGTTATTTATATCCAAATAATTATTTGGTAGACCCACTCCCTAGTCAGACTTATGAGGTTTTTCTACATGTGAACTATGAGGTGGCACTCTTTGTACATTGTTTATTAATGTTTTCAATATTTATACTATAAATACATAATAAATATGCTTAAATTAAAAAAAAAAAAAACAATTATTAAAAGCTCATAAGCTGGCTCGTGAAAAATAATTGTGATTCTGATCGAGCTCATAAATTATCACATGAGCTAGAACCTTCAACTAAATGAACTCAACTCGAGCTCGACTCATTAAAATCTTTACAGTCAAACATTAGGGGTTGTTTGGAAAAGAAAAAAAAGAAAAAGAAATATATTTCAAGAAACTTTTTCAGCAAAAGTATTTCAACTCAATAAAGAATTCGATTCTTCAAAAAGGAAAAAAAAAAAAAAGATAAATGGAGAAGAAAAGTTCCAAGAAAGAGGGGCCCACCACAATGAATGGCAAACCACCGCCCACGGCGGCGAAATATATTCTTAATATTCACAACCACCAATAGCAAACACATTCATGTACGAAAATTACTTTTATATCCCTAGCTATTTTTTCACAATGTACTAGGATAGCAAAAGGTTGCACGTGTTTGGCAAGCCTAAAATAACTTTCAGCATAATTTCAGTATATGAATATATAAAATAGGTATAGTTGGTTGCTATTAAATCCAACTAACTAAACAGTTCGGTTGGCATAATTCTTTTTTAAATTAAAAATATTAACAAAATGAATAAATAGAAATAAAAAAGTAATGAAAGAATGGGCGGTTTTCTTGAAATTAAAGACTTTCACAGATAAAAGTTTGGTGGGCATCTTTTATGGACCACAAAAGAAGACACATTGGCCATTCAATATGCCCACATTACTCTTGCTACTTCTCTTTAAAAAAAAAGAAAATCAATCTTCAATTATTATTCAAGATTTTTTATTTATTTATTAATAAAATAAATAAATAGATAATAAATAATAAAGAAGAAAAAATAAGAAAATAAAAAAAGGAAAATCAAGAAAGTATGAGTCTCTGAGTCTTCATGTAAGCCATGTGAAGTGCTGAAATCTTTTGTCCCCAAAGAGAGACTCATTACTAGGAAGCTGAGTTCTTACCATGCCGACAAATCCGAAACACGAATTTAATGCTTTACGACGCAAAGTTAAGCATCATAATCGAAGCCCATGTGCCGAGTTATTTGCAAAATCGAACACAAGGAAATAACTTACGAGAATTCAAACCAACACCCGCAGAAAGATATTACCGATCAACACTCGTAAACAAACACGTATACTCAAGAAACCATGTGCAATCGATTATTATTCACAAAAACTACATCCGTAGCATACGATAACGGAACCCCACTTAAGCGTATAGAAAGAATATTCACAAGAAAGGTTCAAACTTTACCACATAATACCTCAATTTTTCTTTTTTCGCAGATTGAGAAAAGCAAAGTGGAGTAAGAATTTACAGAATGTGTGCTCTCGATCACGCAGTATGGGTAACGTTAACAGATTTATTGAGTCTCTCGAGAATTCCTCTAGCTTTTCTCTGAGCTCTCGAAGTACCGTTGTGAGCGACCTGAGATATGGTACGGTGCATACTCTCCTCTTCCCTCATCGCCTTCCACTTGCTTCTATCGCTAAAGCAAATAGCGTGCAGCATAGCTATACAATTCTCCTTGTTTCTATCGCAAGTCGTCTCTCTTATTATTTCAAACAAACAAGGAACTGCTTCGAGATCTCCCATTTCTTCGACACACTTCTGATTGGTCGAAAGAAGAGCAAGCGGCGGCAGCAAAATATCGACACGCGCTCTGTTTTTAATCTTTTCAAGAATCACCACAACCGCCCCGTCTCTAACGGCTCTCACCTTATTCTCGTGCAAAATGCACAGATTGAAAATCGCCGAAGCGGCGTCGTTCATTGCCGCAGGATGCCCCTCGCGCAATAACTCGATCAAGGGTTTCAATGCACCGGATTTGCCGAGGAGTGCCTTGTTCGAGTCGAGGGCCGATAGCGTGAAAATCGTCGCGGCCGCATTGCTCCTCGTCTCGATCGATCCATTCTTTACCGCGTCGATTAAAAGTGGAATCGCCGCTGGCGTTTCCGCGACTAGCTTCTTGTTGTTATCGTCGTGAATTGCGATGTTCAAAACGGATGTGATTATATCTTCGTGGAGGTCCGGGTGGGCCCCAATTGTGCCATTGCTTAGTGGGGCCAGCAATTGAGGTATGGCATTGGGGGTTTCGGCGAAAAGGGCTCGAACAGAAGCTGTTTTTCTAGTCAACCGGCGTAATTCTTTGGCGGCTTCTTTTTGTTCGGATAACGCCGAAGACATTCGGTTGAGTAGAGAGAGGAAATGTTCCCTATCGGATTCCGCAAAGCCCTCCTCGTAGGTGTAGTTAATGGGGTCCGGTAATTTGATGCCGTGTTTATTGCACCATTTGGTTATCATTTCGCGAATCAAGTGGTTCGGCGCGAGAGTGGTGTGTGTGAGTACTTGTTGAGTTTTCGGGCATGTTCGATTCCCCGATTTTAACCATTTCTGAATGAAAGGCCTGTCATATGTCTGCCATTGGAGACAATGTATACAAGAACAAACTCCATTATCAATAATCCAATCCAAACAACATTTAAAATTGATTTTGATTTTGATTATTGGGAAATATAAAAGGCAAATAATAATAATAATAAAATCAAGCAAAATCCAGCAGAATTAATAACCCCTTCAATTGATTATCAACCAAACCATTAGATATATATATATTCTCTTATTTTTTTTCAGGAATCAACAATTTAAATTAAATAATTCCAACCTAAATTCAATTTTCAGAATTTTAACAACAAACAAATTTCAGTTTTAAAAACACACACACAACACAATACACACACAAAAAGGGGTAAAATAGAAAACCTGTCCGCTGTCAATAATGACGGGATCCCTCATGAGTTCCATCGAGAGAGGGCACTTAAATTCCTCCGGCACCGTTCCGGCGGAAGCCAATTCACGATCAGTACGGAGTTTCAGAGAAACGGTTTTCTTCAATTTCATTTCCTTCAACGCAACCAGCATCTGATAAGCTCTTTCAACCGCATCCAGATTTACGTCTTCCTCGTCCACGATCGCCTTCACCAGCTTCAGCAATTCTTTCTTCAATTCCGCCGCCTTAACCGCCGCCGCCGCCGGATCCCCTTCAATAACACCGCTCTTCGCCATCACTCTTTCCTCCAATTTTTTTTTTTTAAATCCCCCAAATTGTTGAATTATACGAATTATGATGATGGGATTTTCACCCTTCTTTACTAATCATCCACTCTCCTTTTTTTTCAATATTTTTCCGGTGAGATTTTCAGAATTTGGAGTTATTTATTTATTTTAATTTTCACAGAAGAATGCGAGTGAAGTGTGGTATAAGGAATTGAGAGTTTTAAGTGTAGTGTGGGTTTGTGGGTCCCACTAGTGGGCTACGCAATCAGCCTTGACAGCTGGCAGGTTACGCGGCATAAACACTTCTATTACTACAATTAATTAATTAATTAATTAATCGTTTTTTACGTATTATAAATTTATTTTTTATTATGTATGGGAAAATAGTTTTTTTTTTTAACGAATACAAAATATTATTAAAATTACTTCAAAAGGATCGTTTAGGGATATTCTTTTTAATTCCTTTTAATATATTTAAAATGATGAAAATATGGTGCATTCTTTTTATTTTATTGTACTCTATTCAAATTAATATGCATGTCAAATTACTTAATATTATTCATTTTAGTTATATATAGAAACTAATTACTTAATTGAATATCATTCATTTGACCATAGTTGATGGTCAAATGGTAGTTAACTAATTAATTCGTTCGTCAACTTATTAGAGTAATATTTCACACTACATTTATTT